TCGTGTTGAAGTTGGCCGCCGCGATCGCTGCTATGTCGGTCTCGGTGATCCAGCTCTTGCGGTGCGCCTCAAAGCGCGCGCCCAGCTGGCCCTTGACGCCCGCGGCCGCCGACGCATATGCGGCCGCCGCGTCGACCTCGGTCCACGTCGCGTTCGCGGGCAGATCCTTCCAAATGTCGGAGCGCGGGTTCATCCATTGCTCGGCGACGAGCCAGCCGCCAAGGTTGACGCCACGCACGGGCACGCGGCCGGCGGCAATGGCCTGCGCCACGTAGACGGTCGTCGGCGCTGGCCGCGCCGCCACATGCAGGCCGACGATCACGGCCGCGAGGATGCCGACGGGGAAGATGAGCCAGATGACGCGCCGCAAGGACGCCTTGCAGCTGCTCACGCTCTCGCGGGGCGCGACCGTCTCCGCGTTCGGGACCGCCGGGCTCTTCATCGATTTGTGGGAAAGGCCGATGTTGCTCTTTGGACGTGGATGTTACCTTAGGTTCGACCTACGGTTGACTAGAGGCGCTGCCCTCTGGTACTATGAAGTATGCAGATCGGTATTTCGCTGATAAACTCTAGTAAGATCTTATGGCTGAGGCAATCGTTCCGTCGCTGCCTTGGCTGCTCTGTTGCGATGCGGTGTATACAGTAGTCTGCCTACTGCGATCTGAGGACGCGGGATCGAGGCGAGCCTTAGGCTAAGGGTATAAAAATGCGTTCAACAGGGTTGAGAGGATCGAGCCTAAGGTATCGAAGGGCCAGGCGTGAATAATTGGTCCATTCCACCCCATGAATTCGCGTATAAGAGTAAAACCAGACGAGTGAAGCGCATGTGATTGGATACCAAAACTGCAAACAGTACTTTTTAAGCGAATGATGGCGATAGCCAGATCGCGCGACGTGTGCAATGACGTGTGACGCGATCGAGTCGCTGCGAGGACAACCTTGCCACGGTCATCCATCGGCCGAGCTGGGCACTGAGCTGGGCACTCAGTCTGAGATCTAAATACGGACAAGGCAAGAAGCAGGGACATCGTTGCCTGAAAGCCGACCGACCGACAATCCACTCGAAGTAGTTCACGCATCCAGGGGGCTAGGGGGACTTTTCCGTCAGGTCACACAAGGAACGACACAATGCGTCTTTGTCCTCTTCGACGATCAAACGACCATGTCAGTAGCGGGTGAGGCGGGTTAGGTTTACGTCAGCAACTACAACTTCGGGAATGGCCCAAGCAGGACACCGTGGTCTAACCTTGTGTCTCTTTACACCAAGTAGTTGGCTCGAATCTCTGTTGAATACTTGTTGCATCCTTAAAAATGGTCTGGCCACGAGTCGACCATAGTGTACATGTCAATACTGTACATAGGGTGTCTCGGCTCGCTCAAGCTCGGTGCGGCCCATTCTTTGCAGCACGCCTGGCTTCCCGGCCAACGTCGCGAGTACTTTGAACGCCCTGGCGCAGCACCGTGGCGCGCCCGCCTGGTGACGACGCTACCACACGTGCTCGACACCGATCTCGTCACCGTAGCCACTCCTGTCACCGTCTTTTGAGAAGCGCCTCCAGATCCGTCCTGGCGCAGAACAAGTAGCTTTGGACCGAGCTGACCGAGGCGATCGTTGTCGCTTGTTCCGGCGTCCCCACGCACGACGCTGTCTAATACTTCGGTACACGCACTCTTCCGAGCTTACAGCCAGTATTGCAGAGAGCAACCGTCATATCGATCTCGTTTGTCGAGTTCATGGCTCCATACGGTACGCGGGCAAGAACGCACTGTCCATGCTTCGTTCAACGGCTACTCAAAAGGAAGCATCATCGCCCCTCTCAAGCCACAAATCGAGCCCCCTGAGCGCCCACGTACGAGTACGTTTTTCGCGCGAAGCCTCTCGAGGCAACGGATTCATGCGCTGCTGTCAATGGAAGGGCAACGAGGCGAACGCAGTCGCACAATCAAGATACTGACAGACGCTTGGAGCCGTTGTTTTTGGCCACGTCAAATAAAACACGCCCCACGGCTCCACCCCGCACACCACCTTTGTAGACCGACCTTGAAGGGTTTGCGTGCGCATTGAATTCTTATTTAACTACTAGTATTGTCTACTAGTATTGATATTGAATTTAGTCGCGTGAATGTATTTTAGTGGCCGACTAGACACGCGGTGCAGTTTGGACCTTCCTCTGGGTCGCGGCTTGAAACAGTCAAATAAATACGCGCGGTGGCGAGCTCAGACGGCGGCCGCCACGGCGGCTGTCGACACGCTCCGGGTTTGGGGTACTTGCTGCTGCTGTTGTTGTTGCTGTGTGAATTGCTGCTGGAGCTGGTGCTGCTGGCGCCGGCGGCGGTGGGCTTGCTGGATCAAGTGCAAGAGGAGGACCTTGATGGTCTTTTCGTCGAGGACGCGGCCGCGCGCGACTTCGTTGATGCGGTGCTCCATCTTGTACGCGACCAGTGGCAGCTTGGCCGAGAGCTTGGTCGCCGGCAGCTTGCTCTTGGACGCGCTGTCGTTGAGGAGGCGGGCGACAATGTACACGTTGCGCTTCCGGGCTTCGGTGAGGCACATGCGGTAGTTTTGTGTCATTGTCATGCTGGCTGGGATTTGATGCAAATTAAAAACTGAGGCAAGAGGCGGCTTGTGGCAGCGCGTCTGCGTGTCCCTAACGGAGCCCGCATAGAAACTTGGCTCGGGACAAATCATCGCGCCAGAGACAAGGTCCATGGCGCCATTGCCGCTGGGTCATAAATAGGGCCTTCGAATTGCACTAAGAAGTACCTAGCTTTGGCCATTTGGCTGCTTCATAGGACGTTGGCCGTTCCCAATCGACCGCCAAGCGACACGAGGCATCGACTGCACCAAATGCATTGTCCAAACGACTTGGTTGAGGAGGGAAGAGCGTTCGTTATTCAACACCATACGAATTAGGTGATCACGTCCAACTTCAACTTGATGTAGCGTGCAACCTTGTCGTGCCACCATGGTCACCGTTGCGCCAGAGCGCATATGCTGCTCGACACGATCGCGACAACGGTCATGTAGTGAGCGCTTGCCGACGCACGAAGCTTCCGTTTTTACCGACCAATCCAAGTGCAACCGGCCGAGCCATGTGTACTTTTTAAGGGAATTCGTGATTGACAACGCACTGGCTTTTGCCGGCTCGCCTTCAATCGTCCCCGCAATCGAACTGCGCGAAGCACTAGGGGACGGGCTTGGATACGCACATACAATTCCCAACTACACGGGGTACGAGACATGCGGGCGCCGATGCTTCGCTGCATTGTCTTTGTCGATCCGTCGACGCACCCGCATGATATGACGCCGCCCCATAAAACGCGCCACCGCGGCCGGCGATTGCAGACTTGTCATCCGCGCTGCGATATGAAGCACCGTCGGTGGAGTAGTAGTACTCGAGTCATTGGAGCAGCAACGCTTGGCCGCTCGTCGCCTTGGCTTGCATAGTAGCTCCCGCGCACACCACTAAACCACGCATCGGTACGCTCCCATACATCGATCGTACGTAGCGGGCATAAAGAGATGCAAGGGAGGGCCACTGGCACAAAGCAATGAGCCATGTGCTTAGAAAAGGCACCTGATCGGACGCTCGCGCCAGCAAAGCATAGACGCACGCCGCGACTCGGACCAGACACGCATCCGCCTGCTGTAGCGTCCCGGCGTCAAGAGGTATGCATCTCCGTGCATACAGGTAATCCATCGCAGCATGTCTCAAGGTCCCAAGGGCACGATGACAAACGGAGCTTCTTGTGCGTGCTTAGCAGCAAAAACGGCTATGTCTCGATCAGCATCTCGGCAGCCGGCACGGCTTCGGACGCACTCGCGCGGTGCCGAGCGACGCGTCGGAGCGTGTCCTTAAAGTCCTCTTCGTCCTTCTCGGCCTCAAACACCTGAATCGCGGCTTGGACGACGACGTCATTCTCAACGAGAGCACTTTTGAGTGCGAGCAGCTCGTCTTCCGGCAAGTCGAGCTCGGACACGAGGTGTAAGATCTGCTTTTCCATCGCCGACACGTCGATGACACGCTTCTCGTCGTCGTCGCCGTCATCCTTGTCGGTGGTGCGTGGACTAAAAGGCGAACTGGCGACCGTCGCGTCAGGCGATGCGATGCGCTCGAGCGTATCGACCAAGTCGGGCTACCATGTCATAAGCATGAGCCACAGTCCACATCGTGTTTCTAGCATCATCGACGTACAATGTCGAGGCTGTCGGCGTACACGTCCAGGGCGGCGAGGACGCGCGGGTCCTCGGGCGCCAAATGCTCTTCGACGTCCTGGCTGAGACGCCCGGCCGTCACGAGCTCGTCGAGCGCATGCTTGGCCGCCGCCGTGTCGGTGGTTGCAGAAGTCGTCGCCAGTCGGACAAGCGTGTCGATAAAGTCGTCTTCGTTCCGGTCCTCGAGGAAGAGAAAGTACGCCGCCATGAGCCGCGGGTCGTTGGCGTCCCAGAGGTCGCGCAGCCCCGCGCCACGCCCGCTTTGCTCGAGCGGCACAATCCTACGCAGGAAAAAGATCACGCGTCGATGCTGCAATCACACAGGCGACGACGACGCACCACGTGTAGAGGATGCTTTGGTGGTTGGCTTCCCAGTTCAAGACCCCGCAGAGGTCGTGCAGCACGGGAACGAGCGCTGTTTTGTCGCCGTCACGCTGAAACGACGCGGCGGCCGCAAACAGACGTGCATCTTGCTTCTTGATGAGCGTCTTGAGCGCCATTTGCTGACCTGCGCTAATGTCGGACGACGCCACGAGGCGCTCCAAGAGCTGGGCAATGTAAAACTCCGTCGACGTTGGCGGGTAGTGCGACGGCGAGAAGA